TGGGTCTCAAACCCGCGGGCTCAGGCAATCCACTCACCTCAGCCTCCCAAAGGCGCGGGATTACAGGCTGAGCCACCGAGCCTGCCCAAGCCCTACTCTATGCCAAATCAGTGAGCCTTAATTCCCCCTTCTGGCACCAGCCCTAATATTACTGCAGGCCTTCTAGATGCTAACCTGAATTTAGGTTACCACAGAATTGACCCAGTTATGCGGGGCTCTCTCTTGAACCTAGGCTTCCTCATTTATAAAATGGGTTAAAGGTGTGCAGTGACTGGAGAGTGAGCCTGGCTTCCATGGGGAACCCTTTCTTGGGAGAAAGCTGGTGGCCTTCCCTTTGCCTCTTTTTAAAGTCCAGGGAGAGGCCGGTTGTGGTGGTTCAAGTCTGTAATTCCAGCACTTTGGAAGGCCGAGATGAGAGGAATGCCTGAGCTCAGGGGTTTGTGACCCGCCTGGGCAATTTGTCAAGACCTCATCTCTACAATAAATCAAAAATTAGCCAGGCATGGTAGCACGTACCTGTAGTTCCAGCTACTTGGAAGACTGAGGCGGAAGGATCACCATAGTCCAGTAAGTCGAGGCTGTGGTGGCCATGAGCGTACCACTGCACTCCAGCCTGGGCAACAGAGTGAGACTCTGACTCAAAAAATAAAAAAATTAAGTCCAGGGAGAATCTGGGCATAGTGGCTCACACCTGTAATCCCAGCACTTTGGGAAGCTGAGGCAAGAGGATTGCCTGAGCCTACGGGTTCTAGACCAGCCTGGGCAACATGGTGAGACCTTGTTTCCATAATAAATCAAAAAAATAGCTGGACATGGTAGCATCCAGCTACTTGGAAGGCTGAGGCAGAAGGATCGCCTGAGCCCAGCAAGTCGAGGCTGCGATGACCATGAGCATGCCAGTGCACTCCTACCTGGATGACAAAGTGAGACTCCTACTCAAAAAAAAAAAAAAAAACTAAGAATAAATAAAGTCCAGGGAGTGTGTGAGGCAGCCTTGACCAGAAACCCATCCTCCAGAGAATGGCCTCTGTGGTTGTCAACACTCTTTCAGATATTCCATGACTGCTGAGCTCAATGGAAAGTTGATGGAAGAACTGCCAGGAAGAGAAATAAGAACCAGAGCTGGCCAGATCTGGGGAGGCAGGAGCAAGTCCAGAAAAAAAGAGGACATAGAGTGGGTATCAGTGAAAGGAGAAGGTCTGGAGAGGCCTCCAGCCTCTGGTCTCACTGATTTCCAAGGTCATCCCTGTCCCTCCCAGGCCCGGGGAGGCCACAGGGGAAAGGAAGGAAGTGTCTGACCAGGGGAGCTAAGCTTTGTAAGGCTGTGAGTTGTAGAGTTGGGGCCCATCACCTAAGAGGCTGACACCTGTCAGCCCCTGCTGTGCTGGCATGGTTTGGAAAGCTGAGGAACCCAAATTAGCAAGTGATAAGGCCTAGCCCATCTGTCCTCCCAGCAGCCCCTCCACCACGGGCCCTCCCCCACCACTCAGGGGCCTTGCCTTGGTGACAGCCAACCATAAACCCTCTCCTCCCTTCTCCAACCATCCCCATCTTGAGTCCATCTGTTGTTCCAGGACCAGGTTTCCTACAGCTGAGTTCTGAGAGGTTCGGGCCTGGAGCTGAGAAGACTAGGGCAAAAGGAACAAAGAAACCAGAAGATTGATGCCCTGGTTTTCTGCCTAAAATCAGACTCACCATTAAGGCCTGTGGCATTAAAGTCACAGCATAGTACAGTGAGTCAACACACAACTTTGGAAGAAGATAGCTCTGCCACTCACTAGTGTAACTTAAGCAATTTCACCCTTCCTATCCTCCACTTCCTCATCTGTAAAATGGGAATAATAATAGAGTCTACCTCAGAAGGCTGCTGTGAGGCTCCAATGAGGTCATGTGTATAAAGAGTGTTACAAACGCCTGGCACAAGGCAAATGCTGAGCAAGTGTTAGTTCTTAGTATATTCTCAGTGAAGCCTCGCAGTTACATTCTGAGGCAGGCACTATTGTTAACCCCATTTTACTGATGAGGAAATAGAGGCTCACAATGGTTAAGCATCTCTCCCACAGTCCCACAAAAAGGAAGAGGCAAAGCCAGGAGCTACACGCAGATCTCTGGTGCCAAAGTTTATCCTTCACCAGTCCTCCATCTGGCGCGTAGTAAGTGTTCAATAAACAGTGGTCATCATTACTTTTTTTTTATTTAAAGAAACAGAGTCTCGGCCGGGCTTGGTGGCTCAGCCTGTAATTCCAGAACTTTGGGAGGACAAGACAAGTGAATTGCCTGAAGCCGTGGGTTCAAGACCCACCTGGGCAACTTGGCGAGATCTCATCTCTACAATAAATCAAAAATTAACCGGCTGTGGTAGCACACGCCTGTAGTTCTAACTACTTGGAAGGCTGAGGAAGGATCGTTGGAGCCCAGCAGGTCCAGACTGCTGTGGCCCGGGAGTGTGCCACTACACTCCAGTCTGGGCGAGAGTG